TGATATAGGGTGGGGTATCGACTGGTGATATAAGGTGGGGTATGGACTGGTGATATAGGTGATATAGGGTGGGGTATGGACTGGTGATATAGGTGATATAGGGTGGGGTATGGACTGCCTCAGAAACCTGCCTACCTCACCAGGAGGCTAAAACTGAGTGGAGGCTAGATCTTCCAGCAGGAAAACAGTCCAAAGCATCCACATGAAGATGATTAACTGACACCGGAATCAAGATTCTGCAACAGTAATAAGTACTAACGCAATAATTCTGGAGGGTAACTGTGTATACGGCACCGCTGCTATTCTGCTGTTCGCATTTTAATTTAGAAATGGCCAAAAAATGTAAATTTCAAATATAACCAACAGCTGAAAGCAGAGATATAGCAGAGACCGTGACAGTGGGGAATTCACTCTTGAGTTCCTCCCTCCAATAGCACGGGTATGCCATTACAAAGCTGAAGCAGCGTATGTGGTGCAGACTTACGGATGTCGCTCTCTTTGCTCTTTTTCGTCTTGTTACTCAAACTGATTTCAAACCGGTTTATGTCACTCGAGAGGTCGCTGAGTTTAAAAAAAAAAAAAAAAAAAAAAAAAAAAAAAAAAAAAGTTCATATATAGTTATACATATGTAGACATACTTGCACGCACGCACAAATCAGTCAGGGGAACCAGACATTTAGAATAGAATTCCAAGAGAACCATCCTACGTGTTATATCTGTAGAATGCCTAGCTGCAGCTAACAGATTCCATGCGCAAACATGGCCAGCAGCAAAGGCAAAGATGACACAGGCAGTGACTCACTCGAAGACAAACTCCTCTGCCCACACGGGGTTCTGCCCTTCACGCAGGTGAGTCTTCGCTACCTGCACGCTGTTCAGGTAGATGTTGCAGTAAGGGTTGGTGAAATGTTTCGTTGGCAGCTTGTGGGCCTCTTCCACGTTGAGGATCAAACTGTTCACCTGAAAGAAAAAAAAAGAAAATGCAATGATAGAGGTCTGCAGCTTCGCATCTCAAGGGGTATGAGTTTGATTCCCTCCCCCGGCTGTGTGTATTCCAGTCCAAAGATGTCTCCAAATTGCCTATAGTATGAGTTTGATTCCCTCCCCCGGCTGTGTGTATTCCAGTCCAAAGATGTCTCCAA